CAGTATGGAATTTCCTCAGAAAACTAAAAATGAGCTGCCTTTTGACCCGACAATTCCACTGCTAGGATTATATCCCAAGAACCCTGAAACACCAATCCATAAGAACCTATGCACCCCAATGTTCATAGCAGCACAATTTACAATAGCCAAGAGCTGGAAGTAATGTAAATGCCCATCAGTAAATTAATGGATCAAAAATCTATGGTACATTTACACAATGGAATACTACACAGCAGAAAGAAAGAAGGAGCTCCTACCCTTTGTGACAGCATGGATAGAACTGGAAAGCATTATGCTAAGCAAAATAAGCTGGGTGGTGAAAGATAAATACCATGTGATCTCACCTTTAAGTGGAACCTAATCCACAAAACAAACAAGCAAGCAAAATATAGGCAGAGAAATTGAAATTAAGAACAATCTGACAGTAACCAGAGGGGATGTGGGAGGGGATAATGGGAGGGAAGTGGGGAAGGGTGTACAGGAACAACTACAAAGGACACATGGACAAAACCAAGGTGGGGTGGAAGCAGTGGGGGAGGTGGGGATGGCTGGGGTTGGGGGGAATGATGGGGGTAAACACAGACAACTGTACTTGAACAACAATAAAATAATTAAACAAAAAATAAATAAAACCACCTGGATTCTAACATGGTCTTCTGGGATCTGAGAATCATTAGGAAAAACTTTCCTTCTGTTAATTACAGAGGCCCGGAGGGAAATCATGTACTTAGATATAGGAATAACACGAGAGAAATGTGCCTGATGAGCAGTTAATACAGAGACTGTAAATATATCCCCATGCAGTCCCACAAGTTGTATAGTGATGGTGGACAAGACATGGATGTCGCTGTGATTCCTAAGTCTGGCTCAGGAACTGATGCTTTACTCCTTCCTGCAGTCTTGTGTGGGACAGAGCTTCAGTCTCATGATCCACCATCCAGGGACCAATTCTGACTTGCACATAGAGCACTTCCTTACAGAAAATCCATCCAGGGGAGTCTGAAAGCCTGGTAGGTACATCAGGAAAGGGTCAGAGGGGCTGGAACCTGAGAACTTTCACCTGAGTCACTGGGACCCTACTCAGCCTAGCTCCAAGACCAGATATCTCTTTATGTTCTTGGTTAAGGAACTAATTCATACTTAATTTACTGAACATGTTAATAAGGATGTGACTGTTTGAATCTGCACTCCAGTTCCATAGCTGACAATTAAGTGATGGGACTGGGAGTCCAGTCAGATGACACTGCACAATGAGATGCAGGAAATGATTGCAGGAAATTGAAAACACATCTGAGGAGTTTTACTGTTTGGGAGGAAATGGAGCTTCAGGTGTGGAGAGCAGTGCAGTGAAGTGAGAGCGTTTGTACTAAATTGCTAAGACATGGTGTATTTGAGCATGTTGTATATTCATTGAAAAGATCCAGATCAGTGAGGTAACAGCACCTTGCAGCAGCAGTTAGTGAGGCAGACATTGCAGCATCTTCTCTAATGCTGAGTATTCACGTGAGAGTATATTTAAGTTGTCTAAAAGGGAATAGTAAGTAGTTTTACCTCATTACTGGTGAGGCTGCACATGTTATGGGGTTTGTACCCTTCTACCTTCTATATTAAAACAGTAGAAATTCCTATCCCACACTCAATCTTTTCCCAAAGTGGTCATATTTCTATGCTTTGAATGAGAGATTCTGTCATGATCTTGGGGAATATAAATTGAGGACTGACCGACATGTACCAAAGAGTGTAGCATGCTGAACAACAAGTTTTGATAATTCAGTGAGGAAAAATGAAGGTCACACATTGTACCTTAAATCTTAATGACACCAGGGTGTCCTAGGTCACAATGTTCACATTTATGCCATGAAGACTTCACTGTCTCAGCTAATGGGGTGGAAATCTTCAATCATTTCAAAATTTCTTTTCTTCTTTCTGTGGATTTTCAAAGTAAAGTGCCTACCCAAGGAAGCTAATGAATGCAGAGACTTAAACTCAGCCCCTCTATCTCATGTCACTTGAGGACTGACTCTATTAGACTGCCAAGACTGCTGGGAAGCACTCCCACTCCAGTTGTTAGCAGTGAGCACAGAGATTTGGGTACAGTTCTAGGAGTCAGAGCCTGGCTCAAGTCTCCCTGGCTAATCTCAAAGTGTCTGCAGGGCTGGGCTCCTCCTAGAGGCTCAGGGGAGAATCTCTTTACTCCTTAATCCCAGTTTGTGTTCTGACCACCTGCATTCTTTTTCTCCAGGGCCTCCCTCCTTCGTCAAAGCCAACACGTGGTATTTTCTCATGGTCTCCCTCTCTGCCTCTAGGGGAGCACTGTGCTGACCTTGTCCCCCTGGATGATCCTGCTCATCTTCTACCTTAACGTCAGCTGATTAGCAGCCTTGTTCTGCTACTCTAACCCTCCCCTTTCTATAAAAAATATTTTATTCCAAGGTAGGTATGCATTTTTTAAAAGATTTTATTTATTTATTTTTAGAGAGGGAAGGGAGGGAGATAGAGAGAGAGAGAGAAACATCCATGTGCGGTTGCTGGGGGTTATGGCCTGCAACCCAGGCATGTACCCTGGCTGGGAATCAAACCTGGGACACTTTGGTTCCCAGCCCGCGCTCAATCCACTGAGCTACACCAGCCAGGAAGTAGGTATACATCTTATAGAGGTCTTTATTCTGCCTGTTAAAAATGGTTTTTCAGAAGTGTATTATTTTGTGCCAGTCAAGGATTTTAATATCCTGATGTTAAGGATACACAGATTATATCATAGCCTCTGGAATAAGTGAACACACTCTTCCTTCACAACCCCATGCAGAGACAATGTTTGGATCACAGGAACTAAAACAATCTGCAACTAAGTCAAACACAGAACTACAGCCTTTCTTTCCAGAGAGTGGTCCACAGACCAGGACCTGCAGGATCAATACCACCTGGGCGTTTGTCAGACACAGCTTCTCTGACCCTGAAGGATCTGCTGAAGCAGATTCCATATTTGAACTAGATTCCTGGGGACTTCATTGAAGTCCCTTGAAATGGGCCAGTCCCAGGCCCATTGAAACTGGAGAAGTGCTGGGCTAAACTAGTTTCTGTCACCTTTTACCACTGACATGTGGAGAAGGACAAGAATTGGGGGGTTTGTATTTGTGTTTGTATGTGAATTGTAGGTGTTTAGTGGTATCCCTTCAGGACCTGCCAGATACCCCAGGGGCAAAATCATTTCTGTTTGAAATCTGCTGCCTAGAAGCAACCTGAAATAATTAAAACCAAGGCCCACCACATACTCTAGCATTACTTTTGAGCAAATCTCTAAACCCCTTCAGCTCCTCCTTAAAGCCCTGGTACTGGCCATTTCCTATGCTGGGCACACACTTGCCCACATAAGCTTGACCTCCCTCCCTTTCTCCCTTGAGTTCTGTGCTCAGATGTCACCTTGTTGGCAGGTCTTGCCTAAATACCCATGAAAAATAAAATGGCCTAATCATTTTTTCCTTTAGACCTGCTTTCATATTTCCTTCATAGGATCTGTCACCATCTGTAATGTTAAATTTATTTCTATGATTTGTTTTTATATTCTTTCCCTAATATTGATGTGTAGGGACTTATGTTCTTCTCTATACTCACAACCTAGAGAATGCTGAAAACAGTCAGCACTCAATTTGTATTCCAAAGTACATAATATATTTCTCATTAAAACTGAAGTATACCTGGCACCATAGGAAAAAAGCAGGTCAGGATAAATATTCCTTGCCGAGGTCCAGCCTGGTAGTAGTCTCAGGGTCCCTGAAGGATGCATGGCACAGGCAAAGAGACTGGAGCGAGACGCCAGGTGGGGTGCTGGAGGACAGTCAGTCTTTTTGGGCCTGACTGACTCACTGAGAAAAATCAATCTTTATTTTTATAGGGGAGGTTATATAACATTCAATACATAGTGTGATTATTAAAACAGAAAAGGTTACCATAGAAATAACTTTGAAAAGTACAGGAGGTTTTACAGATCAACCATGTTAAACAAAGGTTATTTTGACCAAGAGAGTCATTAATCAAATAGCCAACGAAGCTATATGGCACAAACTTTCAGGTGCCAGTTAGTAACTAGGTGTCTATTAAGATTCTAGGATTGGTCTAAGTTAAAAGGGTGCAAGGGGTGATTTATAGGTTATATAGAAATTAGCTATTGTCCGTTGAGGCTAGATTTGTCTAGATTAGGTAACTGGTTTTTTGCCTAGGTTTTTTGATGTATACATCTTGGGGGGGGGCATGTTTTGTATTCATTTCCATGTATTGAGATTATTATATTCAACTAGAACTGCTTGCTTCTTTACACTCCTGTCCAGGGTATGGGAGGGGTAGTGGCTCTAATAAATATTAAGCTTTTAAGTGGTGACTCCTTAAGGAACATTCCTAGCAACAGCTTCCTTCAGCGTTCTGGCAGTTGGTCTGCCCATAGTTTAATTTTGTCCTTAACTTCCCAGGTGGGGGAAGTAGGCAGCATTAGGGTTACTAGGGGTTTCTATTCTGTGACCAGCAAGTCATTTCATGCAGAATCAGAGGCATCATGCACATTTTTTGTTATAATGCACAGGTATCTAAAAATCCCACCACCTATTGGTAGCAGGGACAGGCATACAGGAAGAGACAGACAGGAAATCTGGCCACAGTCGCCTCTACTGTGCAGATGCATCTCATCTGTCCCGACTGTGTCAAGGGTCAGCTGTTGGTCGGCTCCCGACAATTCCTGCTTTAAGATGACACAGAAAACTCCTAGAGGGGAACAGATCTGTCCCAAAATACTGAAATTAATTTCTTCACTGCAAAATATAAACAGTAGCAATAGAGCTGTGTAAGTAATTCTGGCTTATATGAAAATTACTCCTGTTTTTTTTCTCCTTCTTGAAAGTCAGCTCCACCTCATGGATTCAGGGAACCTTACAAGAGTGTCAGAATTTCTTCTCCTGGGACTATCAGAGGACCCAGAGCTGCAGCCCATCCTTTTTGGGCTTTTCCTCTGCATGTACCTGATCACTGTGTTGGGAAACCTGCTCATCCTCCTGGCTGTCAGCTCAGACTCCCACCTCCACATACCCATGTACTTCTTCCTCACTATCCTGTCCTTGGTAGACATCTGTTTCACCTCCACCACCATCCCGAAGATGCTGGTGAACATCCAGACACAGAGCAAAGTCATCACCTATGCAGGCTGCATAACCCAGATGTATTTTTTCCTACTCTTTGCCACACTGGACAACTTCCTCCTGACTGTGATGGCCTATGACCGCTTTGTGGCCATCTGTCACCCCCTGCACTACACAGTCATTATGAACCCCCGGCTCTGTGGACTTCTGGTTCTGGTGTCCTTTATCATGAGTACCCTAAATTGCTTGCTACAGTGCTTGATGATGTTGCGGCTGTCCTTCTGCCCACACTCGGAAATCCCCCACTTTTTCTGTGAGCTTAATCAGATGATCCATCTTGCCTGTTCTGACACCTTTCTTAATAACATTGTGATTTATTTTGTAACTGTGCTACTAGGCGGTGGTCCCCTGGCTGGGATCCTTTACTCTTACTCTAAGATTGTGTCCTCCATACGAGCAATCCCATCAGCTCAGGGGAAGTATAAAGCATTTTCCACCTGTGCATCTCACCTCTCAGTTGTCTCCTTATTTTATGGTACACTCCTAGGAGTGTATTTCAGCTCTGCGGGTACCCACAGCTCACAGTCCAGTGCAACAGCCTCAGTGATGTACACTGTGGTCACACCCATGCTGAACCCCTTCATCTACAGCCTCAGGAACAGAGACATAAAGGGGGCTCTGAAAAGATTCTTTGGATGGAGGGTAAACAACAGATAGTCAATCTGAGGTAAACAAAGTGACCTTGATTTCTAGGCCCCAAAACTCAAAACTAGAAATTATGGAATTTTAACCACATTGTGGTTTTTGAACTAGCTCCTTTTATTTCTGTCCTGGAATTTCCATTTCTGTGAGTCCAATTTCTCTGTGCAAGTTATATCACCATTTTATTAAGCTTTCTGCTACATCTATTATCTAGACAGTGTTTCTCTTTCTCATTTTCCTAGCTTCACATTTTTCCCAACATTGATCAGAAATATTTGTAAATTTCCAGTTTATTCCATGGCAGCATTGATTTCTTAAGAATGATTTCTTCCCAAATGACACATCACTGTAGTAATATGTTATTTCATAGATACTTATGTGTGAAATATATTGTCATAAATTTTAAAAAATATATTGTCATACAGAAAAATTATTTACTTGGTTACTGACGCTATTTATATACTTTCATTCTAGGAAAATCTGAAACCTCAGTTTTCACCATGTACTCCTCATTCTTTGTACATCGGTACCTTAGCTGCTCTTCCTGAGAATGTAGACTTAATCATTGTTGCCTGCAAGTCTCAGCCTGTTGACAGTGATGCTATAGGATAGGAAGGCCTGGGCACTGGCTTTGGGCCCTTCTACTAGTTGCTCAGACCACACTCAGTGTTGTGACTGGACAACCTCTTGTGGTTCTTATTATAATAGCAACAACCATCACGAACTATGAAAATGTAAGGAAATTATTCTCAGGTCCTGGAGGGTACACAGCAACCTGAGGGCCAAAGAAGTTTTTGAAATGGGGTTGGAGAAGAGGAGGGAGAGAGAGAAAAAGAGAGACAGAGACAGAGAGAGGGAGAGAGAGAGAACAGATTGAGTTGGGTGGGGAGGCTTGGGTGCTTCTCTAGCAGCCTTGTCACACAGCTGGCAGCAGGATTGAGATGGATGTCTTTGATACAGATGCCTCATACATTAAAAGTGTAATGTCAGGCATTTACACTAGTCTCATAGTACTGGGTTTTATAACCAATCTCCCAGTTGTATTGACTTATTAAGCTCAGTGTTCAGAGAATCTACCATAGTACCTACAAAAAGTGATTTTCAAGTATATGTCTCCCAATGGGTTCTATGTGGATATGAGGCAAGATAAAAAGACTTAGGAAAAATCCATTAGGGAATGAAGACTTTAGAACAGTCATCCTCTCACCAGACCACACCCCCATTCAGTCATGATAAAAAAGAAAACAGTTTATGGCAGGAAAACCTCTCTGGTGGGTGTGGAAGTCTACAACAAGGACTGGCTACTCCAGATGATTCCAAATTGGAGGAAAAATGTACTGGAGACCCACTCCAAAGCTCATTATACCATCATTATAATGAAAAATTAACACCACAAGTAGAGGGGGGAGGGGAACGAAGGTCACGACACTTCCAGAAGGAACATGTTTGAACAAGGGCCCTTCCCAACCAGAAGATGGAATCAGAATTTGGTGCCCTAACGCTTGGAGAAACCCATTCCTCCACCTTGGACACACATAAAATCTCAAGAACTAACTGGTGTGCAAACTCCATCTCCAGGTAGCCCTCTTCCACTAGGATGCATACTTTTCTTTCCCAGGGGTGCCCAGGTCTCTTTCAATAAAACCTGCCTTATTGTCACCCTAGAGTATCCTTGAAATCTTTCCTGGGCAAGTCATGGACCCGGAGGTTGCCTGATATACAGAAGTTTACAGAAAGAGCTCAGGCAGGGCCAGCCCTTGGCGCAGAGGTGGTCTGGTAACAGATACATAGGTGAGAGGAGCAGAGTAAAAGGGACAATGAGGTATATGTGACATTCTGAGCTAAAGATCAGGTAAGGCACCTGGAACATCAGAGGGGAGAAAGGTCATTAGCAGGACAGTAAGGTAAGCAGATGTTCAGTAATTAGAGTTTGTCCTGTCCTATTCATTGATCATAAAGAGTTAACTCTGCTGATAACTTTTATTATGGGCAAGGCCTCAAATTTAAAATTTGTTTATACTGTAGTGGTGTTTATTTTTTAATGTTTTGTTGTTTATGCTTTTATAGTTATCCCAATTTTTCCCCTTCACTTCCCTCCACCTAACCCACCTCCAATTTACACAGTCAATCCCCACATGGACATTGTCTATGTCCACAAGTCCTTCATATTTATTCTTTGACTAATCCCTTCACATTCTTTCAACCAGTCCTCACCTCCCCTGTCCCTCTTACTGCTGTCAGTCTATTCCATGATCCTATACCTCTGGTTCTATGTTGCTCATTAGTTTATTTTGTACATGACATTCCTCTTATAAATTAGATCATATGATATTTGTCTTTCACCAATTGCCTTATTTCGCTTAACATAATAGTCTCTAGTTCCATCCCTGCTCTCACAAAATAGTAATCCCTTCTCTCTCTTTTTTTTTTTGCTGCCCAATATTCCATTGTGTAAATGTACCACAGTTTTTTCATCCATTCATCTACTGATGGGCACTTAGTCTGTTTCCAGCACTTGGCTATTATAAATAGAGCTGCTATAAACTTAGGGGTGCATAAATTTTCTGAACTGGTGTCTTGGGATTCTTAGGATATATCCCAGCAATATAATCACTGGATCAAAAAGCAGTTCCATTTTTAGTTTTTTGAGGAAATTCCATACTGTTTTCCACAGTGGTGGCACCAGTCTGCATTCCCACCAACAGTTTACTAGGGCTCCCTTTTCTCCACAACCTCACCAGCACTTGTTGTTTGTTGATTTGGTTGTGATAGTCATTCTGAGTGGTGTGAAGTGGTATTTCATTGTGACTTTAATTTGTATCTCTCTGATGGCTAATGGTGCTGAGCATCCTTTCATATGTCTCTGGGCCCTCTGTATGCTCTGTATGTACTCCTTGGAGAAGTGTCTGTTCAGGTCCTTTGCCCATGTTTTAGTTGGGTTGTTTCTCTTCCTGGAGTGGAGTTGCGTGAGTTCTTTATATACTTTGGGGATCAAACCCATGTCTGAGATATCATTGGCAAATATATTTACCCATACAGTTGGTTCACTTTTCATTTTGTGGATGTTTTCTTTAGCCATGCAGAAGCTTTTAAATTTGATGAGGTCCTATTTGTTTATTCTTTCCAGTATGTCCCTTGCTCTAGGAGACATATTAATGAAAATATTACTGCATGGAATATCTGAGATTTTTCTACCTATATGTTCTCTTCTAGGACTTTTATAGCATCACGACTTATATTTAAGTCTTTTATCCATCTTGAGTTTATTTTTGTGTATGATGTAAGTTGGTGATCGAGTTTCATTTTTTTGCATGTAGCTGTCCAGATGTTCCAACACCATTTGTTGAAGAGGCTATTTTTACTCCATTTTATGCTTTTGTCCCCTTTGTAAAATATTAATTATCCATAGAGACATGGGTTTATTTCTGGGCTCTCTATTCTGTTCCATTGATCTATGTATCTGTTCTTATGCCAGCATCAGAATGTTTTGATTACCATAGCCTTGTAATATAGCTTGAGGTCAGGTATGGTGATCCCTCCTACTTTGTTCCTCTTTCTCAAAATTGCTGTGGCTATTTGAGGTTGTTTATTGTTCCATAAAAATTTTTGAAATATTTGTTCCGTATCTGTGAAATATGTCATTGGAATTTTAATAGGGATTGCATTGAATCTATAAATTGCTTTGGGTACTATGGACATTTTGATTATCTTAATTCCTCCAATCTATGAACATTTTATATGCTTCCATTTATTTATATCTTCCTTAATTTCTTTCTTCAGTGTTATGTATTTTTTTGAGTACAGATCTTTTAGCTCCTTGATCAGGTTTATTCCTAGGTACTTTTTTTTTTTCATTTTTCTATAGCAAATGGGATATTTTTTCCAGATTTCTGTTTCTGATATTTCATTGTTGGTGTACAAAAATGCATTCTATTTCTGAATATTGACTTAGTATCTTTCTGTTTTGCCATATTCACTTATTAGGTTGAGTGGTTTTTTGGTGGAGTCTATAGGAGTTTCTATGTACACTATCATGTCATCTGTAAGCAATGACAGTTTTACTTCCTCCTTTCCAATTTGGATGCCTTTTATTTCCTTTTCTTGTCTGATTGCTGTGGCTAGGACTTCCAGTACTATGTTGAATAGAAATGGTGAAAGTGGACATCCTGTCTTTTTCCTGATCTTAGTGGGAAAACTTTTAGTTTATGTCTGTTTAGTATGATGTTGACTGTAGGTTTCTTGTATACAGCCTTTATTATGTTGAGGAATGCTCCATCTACTCTCACTTTGCTGAGCGTTTTTGTCATAAATGTGTGCTGTGTCTTACCAAATGCTTTTTCCACATTTATGGATATGATCATGTGATTTTTGTCTTAATTTTTTATGTGATGTATTACATTTATTGATTTGCAAATATTGTACCATCTTTGCATCCCTGGGATGAATACCACTTGATCATGGTGTATGATCTTTTTAATGTATTGTTGGATGTGGTTTGCCAGTACTTTGTTGAGGATTTTAGTGTCTATGTTCATTAGCAATATTGGCCTGAAGTTTTCTTTCTTTGTTGTGTCTTTGTCTGGTTTGGAGATAAGTATGGTGCTGGCCTCATAGAATGAGTTTGGGAATCTTTCCTCTTTTTGGATTTTTTTTTAATAGTCTGAGAAGCATAGTGGTTAGCTCTTCCTTAAAAGTTTTGTAAAATTCTCCTGTGAACCTGTCTGGTCGAGGGCTTTTGTGTGCTGGGAGTTTTTAAATTATTGCTTCAATTTTGTCACCTGTTATTGGTCTGTTAGGCCTTTCTGATTCTTCTTCATTCAGTTTTGGAAGATTTTTTTTTTTTAGTAATTTGTCCTTTTCACCTAGGTTTTCAAATTTCTTGGCATATAGTTCTTTGTATTAATTTCTTACATTCCTTTGTAGTTCTGTGATATCAGTTGTGATCTCTCCTCTTTCATTTGATTGTGTTTATTTGGGTCCTCTCTCCTTTTTTCTTGATG